GTTCTGTGAGATGATGAAAATCCATGTGCAATCACTAACAGATTTTATATAAACATGGTATTATATCTTATATTCCTGGTATAATATGGTCCATAGCTTTGTTGTTAAATGCTATTTTCTCTTGTCTGAAAATTTCTGTCTATTGCCCATTTGCTCTGTCTCTTGTTCTGCTCTTGAAGTACAGGATCTGGTGACCAAGAGGTTGTCATGTGTCTTGTCATCTCACAGATGAACAGTCAATCATAAATTCCCAAATCTTGTGCCTGTAACTGTTCCTTTTGAATCCCTGTCCCCAAACCTGTTAGTCCTATGTCACATTTGATAGGAACAGCTGAGCCCATTCTGAAGGCTTCAGCTTTGGATGTAGCCTAGCATTATGGGAAAAGCAGGGTAGTTTCCTTTATTTCTAGTGATTTCCAGACTCTTGGCTTTCCTAACTCCAGGAGCATATTGAGCTGATGGGTTCTGAGGGAGGCACCTTACAGTCAGCCTCTCCATGGACGCAACACTCTCCCATTTGATAGCTTTGAGCTCATATTTACATTTTCTGAGGAGAACTTACATGGCAAGGGAGGGTGGTTGTTGCAGGAGTCACTCAGTGAGAAGGCAAGATGAGGTGTGACCCAGAGCACAAGGTTACCATCAAATGGCCCTGTTTGGGTTATGCCATGGTACAGTTCCTGTCCCTGAGATGCTCTCAATGGCCTCAGCTGACTTCAAGATATCCTTTCATGATGTATTATTGCCATGCCCCTTAAAAGATGCAGGCAACCAAGACCTGAAAGTGACCAAGTGCACACACTCAGCTGTGATGGCAACATGACTTCTGCACAGCTCCCCAAGTCAGCTCAGGATCTCCTCCTACTCTAGAAAAGCTGACATATGTCATGACGCTGAAACATCCACATAGCATGTCCTAGCTGAAGGTGCTCAGGTGACATGCTCCTTCTGCATCAGTTCCTACAGAGTAGTTACCCTTCTGCTCCAATGCTCATATGGCTCTGAAATGCATAGGAAGGCGTGAAAAGCTCGGCCACACAGGCACTAAATTACTGTTATGATTCCAACCTAACCATTTATTTTTAGCTTCAGTCTCTAGCTTTTCAAAAATGTGAAATGCTTCTCAACTTATCTTTCCAGTATAAGGAAGCGTGGTAAGAAGGTAGTAAACAACACTGCAGACAGCTCACTTGTAAATATGCACATCAGCTCCTGAGTATTTGTGATATAAGCTAGACTGCAGGGAAGGCTCAGCAAGTGGGAATTATTCCAGAAATGTGAAGAATTCAGAACTAGAAAAATCAATGGATAGTATTGGTCATAGCAAATTAAGGAGAAAGATTTTTGTCTCTGTGAAAAAAAGCAGTTGATAAAATTCAATGGAACTTAATTACTAGTAAAATGTAAGAGTATTTCCTTACTACTAAACAATTGTGGCCAGTAACAGGCTTGGGGGTTAGACAGTGTGGGTATGAATCTCCATTACCTTAGGTTAGACAGTGTAGGTGTGGATCTCTACTACCTTAGAGTAGGCATGTAGTTGTAGATCCTTAACACCTTTCTTAACCATTACACCAAAAGCATATGCAATTTAAGGTTAAATTGGGTTAGTTCAAAATTTAAAGCATGTACTTCTTGTGATACTGTCAGGAAAAATCCACAGAACAAGGGGAGTAGGGAGTATTTGCACATCAAGTGTCTGCTAAAGGAACTATATTGAGAACATAGAATTCCTACAACTCAATAGAAGTATAGCTCATTTTAAAAACAGGTAAAGGATTTGCAAAGATTCCTCCAAAGACCGTATACAACTGGCCCAAGAGCACTTTAGGAAGATATTCAGTGCCAATAGTGATTAGTAAAGTCCACCTAAACCCACTATGAGGCACCAATTGCACCCACTAGGACAGCGAGGATCAAAATAACAGACAATAGTAAGTGTGACATTGAAGTCCATTGCTGCTGGTGGAAACTAAGATGGTGTGCCTGCTTTGGAAAACAGACAGGCAATTATTCAAGATGTGTATCAGGGAGACACCACATGACTCAGCAGAGACTCCACCTTACTCCAATGAAAACATATGTCACTTGAGAACTTACAAATGTTCTTTGCTCAAGAGTCCCCAAATGGCCCAGATGCCCACTGACTGATGGATGGATTGATAAAATATGGTGATTTATAGAATGAAATATTATCTTTGAAAAGGATTAGGGTTTCAAAGGACCTTGAAAGGTTTGTCTCAGTGGTCAAAAACAGTGATCCCCTTTCCGTGAAATCTGGGAAAATGCAAATAGACAGAAAGTTAGAAGAGTAACAGTTGCCAGTGCAGAGGCAGAGAGTGGACATGAGGTCTGTGTGTGGTGATAAAAGTCTTCTGGAATCGGATAACTGCTGTTGGATTTACAGTCCTGTGAATATACCTAAACCCACTGCCTGAATCACACACTTTAAAAGGCTTCATATGTGAGTTACATATGAATGGTTTTAAAAGGCTATTTCCTGTGTGCCTTTTAAATTCAAAACTACACCAGAAAGGTAAATGAATGATATAACGATATTACATTTTTTAAATTTTTGAGAGAAAGGAAGTTGTTGTTTGGTTGGTTGGTTGGCTTTTGCTTTTTCAAGGCAGGGTTTCTTTGTGTAGACCAGGCCATCCTGGAACTTGCTCTGTAGACCAGACTGACCTTAAACTCAGAGATCCACCTATCTCTACCTCTGGGATTAAGGGTGTGCATCACCACCACCACTTCTCCCTAGGTAAGAAGGTACCCAAATGAGAGGAGTCAAAAATGACAGATTTCCACTAACATTTGGAATGACTAAAATTAGAACCATACTTTCTATCACAAACCAAAATAAATCCCACATGGATCCAGAATTTGAATGTAAAACTGGAGATCATAAAAGCACTTACAGAAACTATGCATGAATATTTATGGGATCTTGGTTGAGGGAAGTTGCTAAGCATGATGTAAATACCAGAATGTCATTAAAACATCAAGAGAGCATATGAAATGACCCATGTCATCAAAACATCAAGAGAGCATATGAAATGACCCAAAGGACCTGAGGTGTGGTAG